CAATGACTTGGGATGGATGGGAGCTTCTGGCACAGATTAACTGTTTAACTGGTTAACCCTTTAACAGTTTAACAGTTTAAGTGATAAGTGATTAACTGGTTATCTGAACCTGAACTCCAGTGAAGTCGGACAGTTTGTGCAGAGCAGCCTCCAGGTTGTCCACCAGGACGGCCTTCATCCCTGCCGTCTCTGCTGCCTTCACACTCTCCTCGTCCACATCGAGCCACAGAGCCTGAAACGGTTGGATGGGTTCAGCTCCTGGGTCAGGAATCAGCTGTTGCGTCTCTCTTAAAGGGATATCTCCCACCTGCTGTGAGGGGATCCCCAGCTGGTCCAAAGCAGAGTTGAACATGGCGAACTCTGGCACTCTGTGACCTGAATGGCAGGACTGGAGGACCAGGTTAAAGTTGCTACCCAGGAGACAGAGGAGCCGAGCCGGGTCGTCTCCGGAGGCGCTGTCGTCCAGCCAGTGATTGGCCAGGACTGCGGTCAGTACTCCTTTAAATCAAAGTTTAGAGTAAAAACTCTGAGGTTCAAAATGACAAACTGCATGAGAAGCAGCTGTGTTCAGCATGTTACCGTGGTAACGCAGACTTGCAGACGTTTTCAGCACAATATCTTGGACGTCCATCATGGCCTTTCTGACCTCCTCCAGCAGACAGCTGACACACCAATCAGACGGCAGCGCCAGGCCTCTGACCTCAGCTTGTTTGGCACATTCAGCTTGAAAAGCCGGGATCATCTGCAAACACACACATTTATGTACTGACTCGGTAAATAAATGACGAGCAGGAAACATGCGGACCCACCTGATTTAGAGTCATTTTGCCCTTTTCTGCCTGAATCAAAGCTCCTTTATTTTGAGACGCCACATTGGACAGAAAACCTCTGAGAAAACAGATAAAATATGATCTGGATTTAATGACTCCAAATGACCTGTAAACGTGAGCAAAACATGAGAATTTACTTACGCACCATGTTCTGATCTAAAGTCAACCACCGTCTGAAAATGTTTCAAACTTTGAGACTCCAGAAAACCAGAATGATTGATTGATTGATTGATTATTCACACCTGGAATAATAATGCCAAAGTCTGGATCCGTCTGTTTATCCAAGTTACTCAGTTTTTCTACTGAAGCAGGTTTTTGAGGTCAGTCATTGTTTACTGACGGTTCCACAGACGCTGATCTGCAGGTAATCGATCATTTATTGACTGATTATCTGGAGTCCTCAGACCTTCGTCTATAACTGAACTTTGTTTAAATCAAAACTCAAGACTTTGTTTTATTTTTATCTAATATGTGAAGCTGCAGCGGCTCTTGTGGTTTGATTTCCTTGGTTTATATTTTTATATGTTTGGTTTGGTGATGTACTTTGATCTGCAGTGGAGGAGAAACCGGCTGTATAGATAAAAGATTGATTGATTAAAAGTACAGGGTGTGAGCGCTAAACCTGGGAAACCAGTTCTGGTGTTTTGGCTTTCTTCATAAATTATTACAGTTATTGCTTAATATAAACATTTCACTGTATTTATACTTTCTGATGCATTTTTCAGAAGTACTGATTCCCTCTGGATGTTCTTCCTGTTATGGTTTCTCTCCAGATACTCCCACTTTCCTCCCACAGTCTAAAAACATGACTTTGTTTAACTGGTTTCACTGAATGAAACATAGTGGATGATGGCCAAGTTCTACTTTCTGCAAATTCATTCATAATTAAGATACATTTTGACACTTCTCTGGTAGCCCATTATTAAAATTCACCATTTAGGTCTAAAATCTCAAACCTTGCTCACCACGATCTTTCCCCCCACCTGAATTAACTCAGTTAATATGTTAACTATTATCTGTAGTAACTGTTTAATGTACAGACATCTTTACAAAGTGAATAAACATTATTTTAATTTGGATTTAAGCTAAAATTCTTAATCTTGAGTGTGTTGCACGACTATCTGGTAATGTTTGCAGTGATCCTGGTCTGGCTCATGCGTCTAATAATAATTCAAATGTTTTTATTTCCAACTGGATCAGACTGAATTCCTCAGGTTCCTGTTTTACAGTGCGGTCGGCTGTGGTGTAATGGGAGCCTCTCACCGCGGCAGACTGTGCAGCTCCTCCAGTTTGTGGAAAACACCGGTGGGTCGTGACGGAACAACGACGCCCCAGAAGTTGAACAGAACCGCTTTCTTCCCCGCCATCGGACCTGGAAGCTGCAGGCTGTTGATTTGTGTGCGGCTGCAGCAGTGAGGGTTGTTATGTTTCGAGAGTTGCCCTTTGTACGCACTGACGCTGCTGCTCCGCCCACTGGGAATGCTCACTCATGCTTGGCTCACATGAGGCTTGTTCACACAGGCCACCGCTGCTCTAAACCTTTTGTTATTTCAATTATTCTACCCGTTCTTTTTGTAACAACAAAATCTCCATGGTGGAAACACAAACGTGTATAATAATGTCTATAAAAACTAAACCTAGATCCCTGAAACAGGAAATGATGCAGTTTATTTACAAAACATATTTAGGACATTTTTAATACATTTTCTTTTTAAAACTCTGCAACATATTCTTATTTTTGAAATTGTTCTTCTGATTTGTTGTACCTGTGGTAAATGTCTGGTAGGTTATGATTTCTAGGAAGTCAGAAGGGCGGCTTGTTCTGCCCAGAACCGCTTTGTACTGGACTGGTTCTGGTGACACAAAGTTCTGGACATCTGCACTTTGCGCCTACTGTTAATGGACGGCTATGATCTGTCAGCAAGAGCCAAAATATTACCCGAAACAAGTTTATGGCTGCAGAAAACAGTCGGAGCTCCAGAGTAACTTAGTTTTATTTCATGTTTAGGAGTTTTTGGTACAAACAAAGCCCACCCCCCTTATCCATCTGCTGTCGAGCCCCAGCAGAAACTCTCAGGTTTACTTTTTCAGCCCCTCAAGTTGCTGTGGAAAAATTTTTGCCACCTCTTTTTTGAGTTTACTGAGGTCAGCAGACATTTGTTTCTGCAGTTTCCTTTGGGATCCACCACAGCATTTTAAACAGGCTGAGGTCGGCTGGACTTTGACTAGGACGTTGCAGCACTGATTCTTTTCTGTTTCAGACTTTCTGTTGAAAACCTACTGCCATGTTTGGGATCATTGTTCTGTTGGTTGGAACCGCCGGTCTTTGACTCTGTTTATGAAGGAGGTAATGGTGCACTTTGACTGAAAACAAGCCAAATCATCACCCCTCCACCACCGTGCCTGGCAGTTGGTATGAGATGAAAACCAAAACCCACAAAAATTAATTTGCAGCATTTTTGTTTTGTGTGCAGAAACTAGTTTTATATAAAACCTTGAGCTGTGTATCTTGAATAAGTAGGTGACAAACTCAATAACTAGATTTCTGGAATGATGTGAGCTGTAACCATAACCAAGTGTTTTGGGGTTTTTTCAACTTTTTAAAAAATCTTCACAAAACAAGACGGCAAGAAAAAACAGAACATGAATTAAGCTAACGTACTATTTATCAATGCATGACATCTAATCTTTAGCTCACAGATTAAAATGCTTTGATCAAAGTCCTTAACATTACTCTTTGTTATTGTCGTTCCTGTAAGCACTTTGGTGCAGTTTTACACCCATTTTTAAAGTGCTATATATAAATAAACTTGACTTCACTTGGCTTGACTCTTGCTCAGCTCTGTTAGCCACAACATCATTTGTATCCCAAGAGCATCCTGAATCTTCAGAAGTTATTTTCAATCAGATAGATCAGAAGTCGTCAATGTTTTTCCCCAAACTGATGGAGGTCAGGGACGGATCAGGTAGGTTGGTAGGTAACGCTAACCGAGGCTTAGTGCTACATAAAACATGCAGCAATACTGAGCATTAAATACAGGTAATTCTTTATTTCATGTTTTTAATTTATACAAGTTTGAATACACAAGTGATGGCCTCACAAATCCACTGCCATGAACTGTCATGTCAGTGTTTGACTTGAAATGCAGAACTTTTATCATCATGAACAGAATGTGTTCATTTCTGACTGAAATACATTTTATGTCTCGATTCATCAATGTGATGCATTATATGCCTGAAGATTAAACGGATGTTTTCAAGCCTTTTTCCTGTTATGATTATTTTCTGGCTACAGTTTTTGAAAACTCCGTAAGAACCAAGTTCCTTCCCATCCTGCGACCGTTCCAGCTGCTGCCAGGATTTCCCTGTCAGCCAGTCCAGCAGACAGAAAGAGGCAGATGACTGGATGCAAAGTAGGCACCATCTCTATTGTACCCTGCATCTTCATTGGGCTCAGAGCTCCAGACTTTAATGGCCTTTATTTAAACCAGTGAGAGACTGCAAAAAACACAAGTTAAACTTTTCAGCATAGATTATATTTAAACATTCAATATTTATTCACAAAAGTTTCTCTTTTCACATTGTAGAATTAAATTACAGTATTAGTGTTATTTTATTTGTCATTTTATCTGATTAAATATTTGAGAAGTGGTATGATTTAAAAATAAAAGCATTGCTTATGTGTACTTAATTTGAAAAGTGAATCAATTCTTTATCATAATTTCCATTAAGTTTGTAAAAAGAAAATATCCGGAACAAGTAAAAGTATCCTTTAGACAAACATCTAATAGAATACAAGGCTAATTGAGTAAATATAAAAAAATGCTACATTCATATAATTTAACTCATCAACTAAGCACTTCTAGAACTAATCTCTCTTTAAAACCCTCAACAAGATGGATGTTTCTAACATTTTTAATGATCTGAATTTAAATAATCACTAGAAAAACCTCTCGATCAGCTGTTGTAAAGATCTTCTGTAAAAACCTTGTTTAAAATGTTTAACAACTTCATAATGATCTGATACATTCAATATAACATTTCAGCGCAGATTGCAGGCCATTTTTTCTAAATAGTTCTTTTTGGTTCATCTTGCTAAACAAGAAGTTAACTATCTTATCTCGACCAGAAACCAAATCCTGGAAATAAAGTCAGTGAAGGTCCAGTAGGTGGCGCCGGATTCATTTTGAGGTGGAGGGGCCATGGGGTGTTTCGTCACCTCTGTTACGCACTTGTAATGTCAGGCGCGCGCTCTTGTTCAATTGATATGATGGCACCTGTCAATCAATTCAGTGGGTTTGTCGCAATTTGTCCCGAAGTAAACAGTAAACCCCGTATATACATGGGTGTGTTACTGACATCGTGGAGATTCCTTCACACGTCTACATCCTGGAATAGCACCTGACCCAAACTCTTGCCCGAGTTGTTCTTGAAATCTGCCTTTGAAATACAATCATGAAGCCCTTTTATCCCCAAGGCTCCTGAATGACACAAGACAAGAACTTCTGGGTTCTGGACCTCAATAAAATTATGTATTAGTGCATGCCTGGGTCACTCTTCTGCTTTTGTTTCTTATGTTTGGTAAAATAGTCAGCATTACATTGTCTACGAAAATTAATAAAAATAAATATAATAGGTCACAGAGTGTTTCTAGCACTGTGCAATGATTAATGCATGAATAATCCTAAAGAATTAATAGTAATTCAAATAATAGTGGATAAAAGGCTTCAGAACATTTATACCACAGCAGGTATGGAAAACCACAAAAGCAAAAATTAAATCATATACAAATCTATTAATCTCTCCATGTTAAATAAATAAAAAGTATAA